GATACTACTGAAGTTTTGTTAAAACTAAAGATTAAAAATAAGTTTGTAAATTGCTACTGTTTTATAGTGATAAAAGCACAAAACAATTTTGTATGTTCCACAAATACGTAATAGCACAGGTGTATAAATATCTTGTTACATGTAAAGTTTTCAAAATTGATGTTCTAAAAAGTATTTCTCAACTATGTTTACTTTTAAGAATTGTAAACAAGAAATAATTGTCACAATTGAAAGCAGAATTGGCTTGAGGGGTCAGGTGTTTGATATTTTAATGTAATCTATCCTTTGCTATATCATCAATAAGGCCAGTTTTAAGAAATCGACATCACAGGAACCAAAGAGTAAACAGTTTTACTGTCCTCACAGTTGTTGCAGAGAGTATAAACCAAATGAGAATTTCAACATTTTTGCTTGATGATAATTTTTACCTAATAGTATTTGCAATAACAGATTTTCAATTATAGTAAATGTTATGGATTCTCATTTTTAAAAAATCCTGCAAAGAATTTATGCCAATCAATAGTTCATTTTACTTTGGAAAGATTAAGAGGTTTGTTATTTTATTTTTCCAAGTGCAACTAAGGCAAGAATTATCGAATTTTTTATGTTATACTTATGCACCATTGAATCATTTTATTGTACTTGATTTACTGTATGAATTGTGGCCATTGGGTTTCCTACCTTTTCCACCTTGATGTTATTCATCTTTTCTGAAGGCTACTTTTAAATTACATCAGATCTCATCTTGACCTTTTGACTTAGGAGTGATTTTATTTAACAGGATACGTTGATTGTATTTTGGAAAAAAAAAAAAAATTAAACTATTACTTTGTTATTGGAAAAATAACCCTTAGCAATGATTTATTACCATATTCTGTTGACCTAAATGTGTTTCAAAGTGATGAAAGCCCACTGACACAGTTGTCAAAGCAAGAGTAATGAATGTAACAAAAATTCATTTCCTAGAAATGTTTGGCATAATTGCTAACATGGTAATAGAATTAACATATAATCTTTTGGTGGTCTTTGCAAAGGCTCGAGGGCTTTTTTTTAATTTTTGTTTTTCAATTAACATTTACATTTAATATTATTTTATATTAATTTCGTGTGTACAGCATAGTAGTTAGACATTTATATGATTTACGAAGGGATCCCCTCGATTAGTCTAGTACCCACCTGACACTATACTATACATAGTTATTATGATATTATTCACTATATTCCCTGTGCTGTGCTTCACATCCCCATGAAGGGCTTGAGGGTTTAAATCATCATGGGGAGGTTAAAAATGAGGCAGTGCCCTATCAATAAGACACATAAGCAAGTATGAAATAATTTCCCACAAGATATCTCTGGGAAACCATACCTATGCAAAACTACATATATTCTTTTTAGGGCAATTTACCCTGAATTGAATTATACTAAAAACTATTCAAACTAATCAAAGAACCACACTGACTCTCCTTTAAAATTTGTGTTCAAAAACATCATCTTCCATAACATACCCAGTTGTATTTTCATACCTGCCTCTTTTGTGAAGCATTATTAATAAAAAATGTACTTAGCAGAGGGGCATAGACATAATAGTGCAGTTAGGTGTCACTTAAAGGTGGAAACCACAGCCCTCAGAGAGGTGGTGGCAGTTACCAGCTCAGGTTGTGGGGACTCCCCGCTAACAGCTGCTGATTTCTCCCTGTTTGCATCCTTCCTGCAGGCTTGAACCCTGTGGACCACCCTCCTCCCTTCCTGATCCTTTTATTTCTTGGCTTCCTCAATTCCTCCCTCTCAGTGTGACCACTCTTTCTGACAACTTTATCCGCTGCTGCCCTCCTTTTAAATCTTAGTAGCATCCTCACTCTCTCAAAAACCATAGGATGAAGTAGAAACAGCACATGTTTTTGGATTCAGATAGAAGTGGTACTGTATTCCAGATGTCTTACTTGCTAGCTGTGTAATTAAGGTTATTTACTTAACCTCTCTGAGCTTTAATTTTTGCCTCTGTGTCAAAGCAATGATACTTACAGAATTGGTGCATTATTTGCAATATATAGATAGGGTCTGAGACATAGTAGTAGCTCATTAAATTTTAGTTCCTTTATTTCTTCCAGGTAAAAATTATAGTAGAATTAATTTTATTGACGTGTCTTTGATCGATTCACTCCCCAATATTTAGCTGTAGGCTCATCTATGATATAGATTTTCAGCAATAGCTACACAACAATGTGGTGTAGGTTCTTCAGACACAATGAAGGATGTCAAATAGTTAGGGTTAAGATTCCCCTAAAGGGCTTGGTTCAGCAAACTTCAACACTCTCTAAGAATCTGTTGATTTTACCATACAAGGAAATTTGGTTCAGAAGAAACTTTAAGAAGGAAGGAGCAAACTACCCTTTTGAGTTGCATATCCACCTTACCATGATTTTTTGGAGATGAAGGATTGTGGACAGAGGACCCAAGAATGCTTACATTCTGCTCTGCCTATGAGGTCCCCAAAGGAGATATTTTTAGTGGGGACACTGACAAAGCAAGACAAGCAAAAATGTATTATTAGCTGAAGATTTGGTCTTGAGTACCCATACACAGAGCTCTATTATAATAGGCTAGAAAAGGTGACAGGTTTCTGTCTCCTAAATGAAGTTGGCTTGAATGACCTGAGAGCAAAATGCTCCATAAGACAGGGTCTAATTCCCGTAAGCCCAAAGCAGTGTCAAACATTAACACTGCAATGTGAGGGAAAAGACTAATCCAAGGCCCACAGCCAGCAATAGGAAAAAAGGATATAGAGGGAATTTTCCCTACTGTCAAGTATAGCACTGTGTTAAGTCACCTGCCTCATGTTCTGGGCAGGCCCAGAAGCAGAGCTGAACCACACTAGAGGAGAGAGATGGTGGGAAGATGGAGAGATGGCTATGTGGCGGGGAGAGAAATGAGACTACACTCACATGATAACCTAATCAAGTTATGCCTATCAAGGTGAACTCACATATTAGGAAAACAGAAAATCACAAAAGTGTTCCATTGAGAAAATAAAAAGATGTGCAATAATATCAGATATTGTGGTCAAATTAGTGTTCTGACCCCTAAATTTGCATTCCATCTGTATATCCCGATTCATCTTGGTGAGGAGTCAAATGTGTGCTTGTTGAGGGTGGGCTTAGGGAGGAGGCAGAAGTTACTCTACAAGTGAAGAATCTTGTATGTTGGTTACTGAAACACCCCTAAACAATCTCCCTTTCCAATCTCTACCTTCTCTCAGTCAGTCACCCTCACTACTGGCAAGTATTCTTTCCTCTTGCCTAAAACCTTCAATAGGTCCACACTATTCTCAGGTTTTCAAGTCCAGACTTACCGATTGGTTTTTGCTCAAGATGCTTTGCACTCTGGTTCCAAATGACCTCTATAGCCTACCCTCTTTGCCAAGCTCCCTATCCCCCTACATCACTGTGCCTGTAGTTTCATTGCTCTACTAGTGGGGACATACCACCGAACTTTGTCATTGCCATTCCTTTGCTCCTGCCCTTCCCTCTACTTAGAATGCCTTTCCTACTCAACTTTAAGGTTCATCTTGAGTGTTATCTCTGTAGAAATCCTTCCTTGATGCCCTCTTTTTCTGTGATCTCATGATGCTCTTTAAAGACTGCATTTTATGGTAGTTGGTGGTAGTTCTGTTTTTCCCATTAGCATGTGGACTGAGATCCCTTATGGTAGGAAACATCTCTCTCTTTTTTTTATTATTTTTTCCTTATTTATATTTATCCCATGTATTGACATACATATTAAATGTTCCATATGTTTGTTGAAATGAATTATTGTAGATATAGCTTCGAATTCTTGCGTACTCTTTTCTATATACCTCTAGAGATTTTTTAAAAACTGGGAACTGAAGGACAAGGAAAGAAACCTTGTCTAAAACCTTACTCTAAAAATTTTTACTATAAAATGGGTTTTAATTCTAAAGAAGCATCACTAACCTTCACAACATTAACATTTTGTTCTGATAAAATATCATTGCATCAAATCTAATGAAAATCTTTATTAAGATTGGTTTTACATGTAATTAAGATAAAGCTTTTTGCAATTTAAGGCAGAAAATACTTTATAACACATATAGAAACAAAAATATCTGAACTGATTACACATATTTTTATTTCATTAATGGAATCATTTGAGATTCATAGTTGTCTTAATATTTTAGTGCAGCCAGGAGTTCTTGAATTGACACTTGTTTCTTGTCTCTGAAGGGTTTTTCAGAGGTTGATAGTATGAGTTCTGTTTACAAAAGTCCAAAGTCCAAAAAGGCACAAATCCTCCTTTAGAAAGCCATGGATGTCACTGAATTGATTGTTTAAAATTAAAAAAAAATAAAAATAAATGAAACCTAATTTACTCAGCTGTGATTGTTCAACACTGTGTCTGTGCTGTCCATTTCTGGCCAGTTCTCAGCTAGAATATCTGTAAAGGAAACATTTAGGCTGAGGAGAGGAGAGCTGGAGGGGATCAAGCTCCAGAACTCCCCATAGCTGAGCCCTTGTCATAGCCCAGGTGGGTCTTCCCTGCTCTTAGATGCTCCCATCATCTTTTTATGACCCTTATCAAAAACTTGGGGCCTTTCAAACATAGTCAAAAGAATTCCTATTCTACTAATAAAAAATTTAAATAATAATAACAATAAGCAGCCCAGCAAGGAAGTGTTTTAGCCACACAGTATACATGCATTACAAAAACCCTCTATTCCCTTAAACTGAAAAGAAGAAACAGACACAAATTTGGTGGCCATTAAACTGATGGCCACCAAAGTTTTAGTCATCTCTGCTGTCACTTTTGATTGAAACCAGTAGAGATGTATTTTGGCAAATCTATTCATAATTTGTCTTTCTTTACAGGGCTTTCTCTGTAATTGTGTTTCCCATCAGAGAGTCAATGGAGTTAATGTATTGACAATCTGCTGTGACTAACGACAAATGTCATGTTAACATTTTTCCCCACTCTTCAACCCACAGAGCAATGCTAAAATGACTTTTGGTTTAAAGAATTAAAAGGAAGAACAACTTATTCAGATAAGAAGACCTTCGTCAAAGGTAGGAGTTTATCTTCATAAGAGAAGAGAATTATACCATGAAATTATGTGATTATGTAATATTATTGCCATATTTAATACTTTTCAACCCAGAGAGTAAGATAAAAGACAGAGAGTAGGAATATAGATACAAAAACATTAATCATACTGCTTGTCAAAGAGGATAGATCAAATACGTAGAGTACATAGCAAAGAAAACCAGCCCTTCATATTCTTTCATAGTAACAAGATTTTTCTTTTACTAAGTTATGAATCAGAAAATAGGCAGCAGAATTAAAAGCATTGCTAGTAAATAGTATTTTCTGAAGAAATTAAAGATTCAAAATTATGGGAATCATTTACAAGAGAAGAATTGCCTTTTTGATTCAACCATTTATCAAAAATCTGAGAACATAGTATCTGTACGTGATTTTTCTTGTCTCACAATGAAGTCCAAATAATACAATAGTCTGTTTGGAAAATTTAAATATTACTTTGATAAGTGCTTTCTGCTTTGTAAATCCCTTCCCTACTCCTTGTTTCCCACCCCCACTGTCCACCCCATTCCTATTTATGTCATTTATAATTATCAACTTTAGAAAGGACTCTGCCTGGCCTATGTTGCCTTCTGAAAAGCCATTTATTATAATGTTGAACTTCATAAAAAATATCTTAGTTGGAGATCTAGAACACAGTTCAGAGACTGTATCTCAACCAGTAATGGCTTACTTAAGGAATTTATGAGAGAGAGCATGATTGTTCAATTAGTCCTTTACCTTGTAGGTTTCATTTGACAAACTCTCATGGACTTTAATTAAGAAAAGAAGATTGTATGCAAGATTTTGAGGTAGTAAAATATTCTAAGCATGTTGTCCCTCATCCTTTGGAATTCTTAAATGGATTCATTCAGATGCTTTTCGTATTTAAGAGGAAATGATTCATGCCTTAGTTGAATTTGCTTCCACTGTGTTGTATTTTATATGACTAACTTGTTCCATGATATTTCAAAATACCACCAGAAATCCCCAAATAAGTAGCCTGGAAATGAAGAATGCTACTTTGTAAATCAAATAACATACATTTTATTCTGCTTGAAGAGTTCTTTAAAAGTGAAAATTAGTAAAGATTAATGAAATTGCTGTTAGGTAATTATGATCAATAACAAAAGAGCCTTAATTTGTACAAATGGCTCTTTTAATAGAAAGCTCTCTAAATTAATGTAAAATGACTTATTTTACAATGTTTTGATATACCTATACACACCCCCTTCAACAAGTGTCCATATTTCATAAAATAAAGAATACCTGCAAGGTAAAGCAATGTAATAGTAAGATCCGTCTGTTCTTACAGGGACATGAAAGTCTATATACAAATCACAGTTGTCAGGAACTAGGGATTAGTAGTGGCTGCGTTAAGTGGCCTCCCAATAAAACATCGTCAGCAGTAAGTTATGGCAAGTTCTTCTGTAGGCAATATGTTGTGTCACACCTAGGAAAGATAAAAGGACAGCAAGACCAAGTTCTTAACAGTAAATGGTGATTTCTACTGGAAAACACATGAAGACAAGGCCAGCAGAGGGACCACCAGGAAGGAGTGCTCCTTTAAGATGGCAGTGACAGGGCTCAATAAATGGTGCTTTCTCACTTGTGAGGGCGCTCACAGGCGGTTTTTAAGGGAGTTTTCCTGGCTGCTTTCATTATTTTCTCTTCTGTTCATTGCATGAGAGTCATTTGACTTAAAATCTCTATCTTCCAGAGCAACAAGTGAAAAGGTTCAGTTCTACTTTCTCAGTACATTCTTCTCATTGATCTTTTTGTCTAGTCTTTTGTTAAATGACTAAAGTGAACTTTTAGTTGTTAGGCACTATTGGAGCCACTAAAATATCTCATTTTATCTTTGTGAATGATTTAATCTGGTTGAAACTAAATACTGAGTGTCTTCCCCATTTCTTTCCTGTGCCTCACAAAGACTCCCTGAAAGTTCTCAAAATTCTAAAGCACACTTGTATTCAGAATGTCCCCAATCTATTCAAGAATTCAGCCTCTGACATTAGAAAGAGAAAGTTTTGTTGTAACTCCCTAGTGTTTTCAGTAGTCTTTCCCACGTCCACTAGGGTGCTGCGGTCTGGCCAGAACTGTGGTTTGTGAACCCCTACATCCTCCTCTCTGAAAAGTGCTACCTGTCTCAATTTCCTGTCACATATAAAAACTGTGTTGACATTCATCATTAATGCTAATGTGTAAATTCTCTCCAAGGAAATCTGCCTTTTACCTGGCTTGAAACACTTTTAGCTAAAATTCAGTAATGGTGGAATTTCAGTAAGCAACCCAAGTGAGGGGAAGGGACAGTCCCAAAATCACCTCAATAACTGGTTTTCTGCTCTGGCTGCATGTGTGTATGTTTGGTCCTGATTGTAACCATAATGAGTCTGAAGAATTATGGCTATGCTGTACCTTAAAGCATGTTTCTTTTTGGCAAGCTATATAACAAGAAAACTCTGACAGATTATAGGAATTATTTAATAATTGTTTTTGGTTGATGGTTTGAAAGTCGTTCTTATTAGAGTACTAACTTTTAAAAAAATATGCATACATCTTAGGAATGGTCATTACCATTGACCCTTGAACAACACAGGGGCACCAACCCTCCACACAGTCAAGAATTTGTGCATAACTTTTGACTCCCCCAAAACTTAAGTTGTCCTTTGGTATCTGCATGGGATCAGTTCCTGGACACCTCGCGGATACCAAAATCTGTGGGTGCTCAAGTCCCCTATATAAAATGGCATAGATCGATGCATACATTTGATCCTCCACATCCACAGACTCCCAACTGACATTTATTGAAAAAAATCTGCGTATAAATGGACCCACACCATTCAAACTCATGATATTCAAGGGTCAACTGTACATTTTGAGTAGATAATAGTAAAAGTGATAACAGTAAAAAGACTATCATAATTAAGTTGATTGTAGGTGTGAATTAGTATTTTATTACAAAGTCCAAATAGGACTACTGTTTTTAATACTACTTAACAATAAAAAGATCTATCAAAAACTTGTCCTACAGCATCATTTTAAAGCTGAGAAGCTTTATCCCATGCTATGTTACACCAGACAAATCTAGGAGACACAAAACTAGAGATGAAAAGCTCATGAATAAAAATAGTTAGCCTAGGAAGCTTAGAACTTACAAAAACCAAGACAGGAGTCTAAATCTAAGCAAGGGATATTCACCTCTTTATTGTTTTACAATGGATGAGGTATTTTGTCATTTAGAACAGCGATCGCCAACCTTTTTGGCACCAGGGACTGGTGCTCCTATAAGAATCTGAGGCTAGATGATCTGAGGTGGAGCTGAGGCGGTGATGCTAGTGCTGGGGAGCAGCTGCAAGTACAGATGAAGCTTCACTGGCTTGCCTGCTGCTCACCTCCTGCTGTGTGACCCGGTCCCTAACAGGCCACGGATCATACCAGTCCACAGTCCAGGGGTTGGGGACCACTGATCTAGAAAATCAGAACAATCTTTTCTCATACTTACTAACCTACTCTCTCTTCACCCTGACATGTGCCGAGGGTGGCCACACCTCTTGAAACATTAGCACACTTGGACAATCCCCCCACTGTGATCATGGCAAACTGCTTCATGAAATGACTGCTCCCTACTAAAATGCAGTATTCCTGGAAGCTGAATGAGAAACAAACATTCTATTCTTGCATCCCAGTGTACTGCCCAGCTTTCCATTTCTATGTGGAGTCAGAGTAATACCTGTGACCTGTGGTCAGATGAAAGCATATTAAATCTAATGTACAGAGATTCTGTAGGGAGGTTGAATTATAATACACTTCCCAATATTTAGCTCTGAGTTATGGCATCCATGATTGGGATGCCTTTATTTATTAAGTCCTTTCTGCCCCTTGCATCCTGTCCTTGTAATTCTTATGGGACACAACCTTTTTTTCTCTGGAAACCCACCCTGTCCCCCTCCCACTATTCTGGGCTGTTCATTTTGGTAGCTGTTACTGAAGGCTCAGAAAGAATGGTTGAAAGGTATCTGAAAAAAAGACATCAGCATGCTTTCTTAGGAGATAGTAGTGGGAGATGGGTAATTGTGCAAAGGTGAGAGAGTGAGAAAGGTGGCATCATGTGTCTGTGGCAGCAACAGTTAGTGCTAGGAGTCAGTAGAGAAATCTTGCAACTTTCATGCATTTCTCCTCTTTCCTCTCACTGTAGTCTAGTGGGGAGAAATATCTGCTTTGAAATTGGAAGGAGAAAATTGCCTGAATCACTCCGGTAGAGGAAATGTGTAGCGACTTAGTAGTTATGCACCAAGGGCTGATGTGGTGATCTTTGCTAATAGCTCATTGTAGATACTTAATAGATCAGATTTGTTTTCCTCTGCTGCATTTTTGGCTTGTAGTTTTAAAATATTTTCTAGAGTCACTAGAATGAGAGCTGGTGATGAGATAAGGCTAGCTCAGTGGACTATAGGCTTTAATTTGGGGGCTCACTGTAATGACTAGAACTCTGCCACCAGAGAGAGGAGTCACTGCCTTGTGACCCTTGTTCCCAGCAACTTCAAACTCTACTGAAATAACTGCCCATGAGAGGAAGAAACTTATTCAAAATGATAATTATAAATGGTATCCCTTATTCATTCGGAATTATAATTTTTATGTTCAGCCTTCTCATGACCAAAATCAATATTTATTGAGTTTTGTGCACAATAACCTACTGAGTGAGATATTCTAAATGTTGATAATACTGGAAAACCTTAAATATTCAGGTCCACATAACTGTACACACAAAGGTAGAAATGTGTAGCTAGGTTCTGTGGGTTCTTTATCAGAGCCCTTCCTTCCAGCATCTGGACATTTCATCCTTGGCTGCTTTTGGAGGGAGTCAAATCCTGACAGGAGGGTTATCTAGGGAACTACCCAGGAGGAAAATGATGCCCAGTGTGGAGCAGGAGGCTGGCCCAGCCCCTGCTGATAATGCAGTATGTTGCTGTCACATCTGACT